GGAGGGACGGAGTCGGGCCCGGGAGAAGTCGACGCCTCGGCCGAGCGGGCCGGGAGAATGGACGTCCTCGGCCTCAGCGTCCCCCGGCGCTCTCACCCCTGCGCTGCCCGCGGCGGCGAGCGGGAGCGACGCTGCGCACCCGCGACCCGACTGCACAACAGGGTCCAACTCGGAGCGAGACGCCCATGGAGGACCGGCCTGGGTGCACCTAAGCCCAGCTCCCCCTGTGGCCTCCACCCTCTACCCCAAAGGCACCGGAGAGCTCGCAACCTTGGGGCTGCTGAAGGTGAACAGAGGGGAAGTCTTCTTACCCCAAAAAAAGATCTGTCTGCCTCTCTCTGAACTACTTCCTTCTTCCAAAGCCTTGGACTTTCCAGACCCCCCCATTCTCAACCGAGCTAATCATTCAGGTGCAGGCCTCATGAAAGCACCAACTCTAGGGCAGTTTACCCAAACTAGGTGCTGGCAGCAAGTATAGCATTTCATAGTTCGTTGGCTGGAACCTAAATGATAATGTATTTGGTCAATAAGTATTGGAATAGTGCTCAGAGATTGTTAGGTGCTGAAACACAAAAGCCTTGCAGGAGTTCTCAGTCTAGCAGCAGTGAGAGAGAAGACAGTTAAACCTACAGTCAGCATACAAAAAGTGCCTTAATAGTACCAATAGTTCTCTCATCTAGCTTCAACCTTCAGCGCACGCCTCCCATGAGACCCCACCCAAGCCATAGTCCCGAAGGTGCCAGCCTGCCAATACCCCAGGCACCTGTTGAGCTGGACATGCCCAGCTACTCCGTGGGCTTTGTCCCCAGGGAGGATGTCCACCTTCACCTGACACTCGAGTTCTTTCCTTGCAGCTTTGCTGCCAGCAATGGTGGGACTTCAAGCTAAACTCAAGCTCAAGCATTTGGTTCCTAATTGCAGCCGCTCACTTCGACACTCGAGTCTTCATCAGGCCACGAGTTCGGTTTTTGTCCTGTTCATTCCTCTAGGTTAAAACTTACTACTGACTAACTTTTATCTTCTAGAATTTTCAGCGATTTCAAAGGAAGGAGGATTAGAGGGAGACAGGCCTGGAGGCAGCACAGCTCTCACATTGTTTCCTCCCTCCCTCCCTTCCTTCCTCTCCAAAATCAATGAAAAACATCCTCAGGTGAGGATTTTTTTAAAAAAAGAGAAGATGGGGAACTCTGGGACTGACAGATATGTTCATTACCTTGATTGTGTGACGACTTCATGGGTGTATACGTATGTCAAAACTTATCAAATTGTACACTGTAAGTACGTGCAGTTATTGTATGTCAATTATATCTCATTAAGTCTGTAAAAATATAAAAAAAAAAAAAAAAAAAAAAAAA